GTCAAACAAAATTAAAGTAATAAAAATTATAATATTGCACGTGGAAATCTTTTAAAAGCATTTTCCATTCATTGAGCAATAATTTTTTTTTTCGCACTTTTCAGTTTTTATTTTTTAATAATCAATGCAGCATTGTCGTCTTCTGAAATTATTTATAATAAAAAAAAGACTTATTACAAAAAATAACGTTTCGAAGGAGTTTAGACCCAAATTTATCAAGAATAAATTTACTTGATAACATCAAGTATATATATATTTGATTAGAGATGGTCAATAAATTATGCAACGCTTATTTTCATTAACAAGCAAAACAAAAAAGATCAAAACTTTTTTTTTACAGTTAAATAAAAAAACAGGACAGTCCGTTAAATTTAATGAAAATCACAGTGTAAAAGAACTTATGATCTCCTACTTCTTTTTTTTTAATTTAGCGTTGCATAATTTATGGACGATCCCTAACAAGGGGAACCTTAACTCCCTTGATTGTTTAAATAATTAATAAAAAAAAAATTAATAATAGAGTTGTATATTATATTTTTATTTAATTAATACAATATTTATGCTTGAAGTAATATAACTTTTGCAATGTCTTTGTTTATATCTATAAGTTTTATTTTTTGAAAAATAATAGTTTATATAAATAATATTTTACATCAGGTTTTAACATAATTTACTGTCAATTTTATTAAAGCCTGCATAATAAATATTGTTTAATATAATAAATATAGTTTAATATATAAAATTCAATCATTTAACATTAAAAAAAAATGAAACAAAATAGGCATTCATTATTAGATATTCATCAATATTCAATATCAATATTTATTTGAATATTGATAAAATATTTATACATAGAATCCATTTACAAAATAACACTTCTAGTTTATTTGTTTTTCTTAATTAGTAAATTAGATTTTGTTTGTGGTAGTTTTTTTTATTGCGGTAGATTAGACGCAAAGCTAATGAGCTTAGTTGTTTTTTCTTTAAAACAAAACCTGTTATACATTTGTATATATATATATATATATATTTATATTTATATATATATATATATATATATATATATATATATATATATATATATATATATATATATATATATATATATATATATATATATATATATATATATATATATATATATATATATATATATATATATATATATATATATATATATATATATATATATATATATAACAGGTGACAACTGAAAAACTAGACTGAATTTAAAGACACATAAAGATTCTTTAAAGGTATAGGGTAAAACAAAAAGGAAAAACGTTTTAGAAAGAATTTTTATTCTACTTTTTATCTTTATAATCAGTTATTTTCAATTAAACCATTCCTTCTGACCTTATCAACTAGGCCTATTATAGAATGAAATAAACTCCTTATGAGCTCAATATCAACTTTATTAAGGCAATACTTGATCCTATAGTGGAATTTTTTAAGATTTTCTGCATTCAAATTATTTATATAGTCAAGGCCTTTCAAAATACTCCAAAAATATTATGGACAACTTTCTGGCAAGTTATCTGCTTTCTCAACAAAATTCAAGTTTTTCTTGCTTTGGTATATGATTAATGTTTTTGCTTAGTGAGATAATACCAAAATGGGTATCATTTAATGAATGGAAAAAGTTTTTTTTTCTTTTTTAATGCATTTGTTTAAGTAGATTTCTTGATTTACAGACAGTCCACTAGGCACAAAATAAGGCTAAAGATGCCATTTTCAGAAAAAACAATTCAAAGAAGTAAATTTTTTTGAAACTTGTTTTTGTTTGGTATTTAACTGTATTAGTATTAAGTATATCATTTTCATTGATACTGGAGTGATTTAATGTGAAATAAGTCTCATCATCAATGATTGGTTTATGATTTTTGAATTTTCTGACACAATCCACTGTACTTAGGGATCGTCCATATAGTACATACGCTTGGAGGGAAAGAGGGGATCTGAAAATGGCATATATGAGATGAGAGGGCAGTGGGTCAATTATAAAAGAAAAAAGTCACTTAATTTAAAAAAATATCATAAAATATTAAATAAATTAGTTTAAAAGCATAGGTACATTTAGGGAGGTAAAGGGTACTCAAAAAAGCATATTGCAAAATGCGGGGCAGGGGGGGATTGACAAAAAATAAGCATAAGTACTTTACGGATTACCTCATACTTCTAGCAACTGCTTTTTGCAGTTATTATTCTCATTTTTTTTCTTGGAATAATTTTTGTCTTTTTTTTTAATACTTTCCTAATGGGTTGCTGAGTGCAGTTGAACTTTTTTTTAGCATGTTGTTGAGAAGCTCTGTTTCTGTTAAGTTTCAGTCTTTGAATAATTGTCTGGTTCATTTTTTAAGCTCTCTCTCCACTTGAACTCTTAAAGGGATCCCAAACTTCCAACACATGTTGTGTTCATATTAAAGATAATGTTAAAAAAAAAAGGTTTGAACCAAATTTTTTTGATTAAAAATAGATAATGAATGCATACTGTGAAAAACAAATGTTGTTGTTTTTGCCGAAGCTCGTCTTCTCCATTTTTTTCATATTAAAGATAATGTTAAAAAAAAAAGGTTTGAACCAAATTTTTTTGATTAAAAATAGATAATGAATGCATACTGTGAAAAACAAATGTTGTTGTTTTTGCCGAAGCTCGTCTTCTCCATTTTTTTCAGAATACTACTACTCAGAATCTTCAAATTATTCCTTTGAAGCACGTTTAATTCATAAAAGTTTTAGTATTTGATGTCACGGTGACTTTTAACAAAAGAAACTCTGGAAATATTTTTATTTATTTTTAGTCAAAGTTTTTTTGGTTATTTGTTTAGTTTTTGTTTTTTTTTTCTACTTTTAATATTTAAAAAGATATTAAAAACCTTAAATATTTTATGCTGGTCCATTGCTATAAATTGTTATTGCGCCATATATTTAATGTTTATAAATTATGAATATTTATTATCTCAATCAAGACTCTGATAAAAAAATGCTTTACATTAATTACCCGAATAAAATTAGTAACAATATTTTTATTTGGTTAGACGATATTTTGTCTCAATTTGCTTGGGGAAGTCAAACGAAAAAAATTAATTTGAATAATCAGGTCAAAATATATTTAAAACAAATTATTTAAATGACGGGGGTACTAAAGTCTTTTTATAACAAAAGTAGGTAAAAAATAAATAACTAAATAAAAAGTTCAACATTAAACATCTTTTTTTTGTTATATTGCAACTGTAATTATTAAAATATTAACTTTAACTATATTTACTTATTATTTAGAACGACTTAGCAATAAATAAAAAGCCCCTAAAATTATGCGATATTGTGTTAATTTATTCTAAGAACAGAAAAAGCCCTAGGAACGTATTTGTTCCTATAGTATGTAAAATATGTTAGAGTAAAAACAAAATTTTATTGTGTGACATTCAGAACTACCCAAATTTTGCGTGAGAAAGTCAGACAACACATCGTCTATTGTTTAGTAAAATTTTCATTAGGTGTTTTCACAAGTTACGACACATAAATTGGGAAATACCAAGTATAATGTTTTTTAACGCGCGTTGCGATATTTTAACAATTTAAATTACTATCCGTCTTGAGTTGTTGCCATTAATTAATGTGGTCATTATTGCGTTAATTAATAATAATTTGTCTGTATTTTTGTTAAATGTTAATTGTATAAAACGGGCAAAAATATACGTACTTCATGTTTTCAATTTGATGGTTATAAAGTATTGAGCAGTAAACTTATTATTTAAAATTCATAATGCCGGCTTGTGCTGTTATTGCTGTTATTCATTTTTGACGCATTAGCCATAACAACATTAAAACTTTCATATCTGATACTACTGACGACTGTATTGTTTGGTGTGTTCTTGTTCTTTTTTTTCATAACCTTAACAGGTTCTAATTGGTATGGAGTTGTCGACATTTCAAAATTTTCGTTATCAAAAATCAAATGCAAAATAAAATGATTTTTTTTTATCCATATCCAATTTAGCAAGTTCAGCAATTTAAATTTAATCAGCGTAATCAAAAAATTTTTATAATAAAAAAATTTAACAGTTTATCAATTATCTCTAATTAAATGAAAGCAATTGCTTGTAATTACTTTGTTTGCAGTTTAATTAGTAGAAAAACGCTTAGTTTAATTACACTTTTCTTTTGTTAAAAGTCTACCGTGACGTCAAATACTAAAACTTTTATGAATTAAACGCGCTTCAAAGGAATTGCCAAAGTCTGTAGATTGTGATGCATAATTTGAAGACTCCGAGTAGTTGAAAAAAATGGAGAAGACGAGCTTTGGCAAAAACAGCAACATTTGTTTTTCACGGTATGCATTCATTATCTATTTTTAATCAAAAAAATTTGGTTCAAACCTTTTTTTTTAACATTATCTTTAATATGAACACAACATGTGTTGGGAGTTTGGTAACCAGATTCATTTTCAGCATGTTAAATTATCTTGTAGTTAGTACTAATAGGTATATTCTCTGTTTTAAAGTGAATTTTTTACCAACATTCCTGTAATTTAAATAAAGTTCATGCAAACATTTTCTAATCTCTGGTTGTCTAGAATAAATTTTTTTCATTCATTTTTATTTAAAAAATAAAAACATGTAAGATATTTAAAAATTAGAATAAAAATACTGTTTAAAACATTTTTATTTTTTTGTTTTACCTTATACCTTAAAGAAGTTGTATCTATCTATATATCTATATCTATATATCTATATATATGTCTATATATATATATCTATATATCTATATATATATCTATATGTATCTATATATCTATCTATCTATATATATATATATATATATATATATATATATATATATATATATATATATATATATATATATATATATATATATATATATATATATATATATATATATATATATATATATATATATATGTATATATATATATATATATATATATATATATATATGTATATATATATATATATATATATATATATATATATATATATATATATATATATATATATATATATATATATATATATATATATATATATATATATATATATATATATATATATATATATATATATAGAGAGAGAGAGAGAGAGAGAGAGAGAGAGATAGATAGATATATATATATATATATATATATATATATATATATATATATATATATATATATATATATATATATATATATATATATATATATATATATATATATATATATATATATATATATATATATATATATATATATATATATATATATATATATATATATATATATATATATATATATATATATATATATATATATAATGCAAATAGAAGAGTATGCATGTAAAAATATTTTTTGAAAGTCACATTGATCACAACTAATTAAGCTTTACATATTTTTTAATTCAGCCTACAGTTGAAATGCTAAATGTTTTTTAGTTTTTTTTTACTTTGGTACTAGTTACATAATTGCTTAAAATTATCAAATCTTTTATACATCTCATTACACAAATCTATTCTATTTTTATTACACAAATCTATTATATTATTATTTCACATTGAAAAAGAAGGCAATCTCCTGTCTTTTAATCTTGAATTAAATGATGTAATTAAATTTAAAAACATTAAGTCTGATGATACAAGTTTAGAATTAGTCCTATCAAAATTAAAATAACTGAACAAAAATAAATCACCAAGAGCTGACAAATTTTGTTCAATAGTATTCAAAAGTTGTGCGATATTATTTACTTTACCATTAACTCTTATCTTTAGTGCATCACTCAGGAGCAGCCTACTCCCAATTTAATTCATGCCTGCAAACATAGCACCAATCTATAAAAAAGCAAATCTATTGGCAGCAACTATCGCCCTGTCTCATTAACTATTTATAGTTAAATTTATCATTAACCACACTATTGCCAGCAACTATCGCCCTGTCTCATTAACATCTGTTCCCTGCAAAATATTAGAAAGAAGAGAAAACTTATAACATCTTTACAACAAAAATTTATTAATAACCCAAAAACATGGATTTGTAAAAGGGAAATCTTGCACCACAAGTTTGTTAGAAACTCTAGGCTTTATTTCATCTTGCATTAGCAATGGTATACCTGTGAGTGTAGTGCTAGACTTTACTAAAGCTTTTGACACTGTTTCGCACCAAAGACTCTTAGCTAAATTAAATGTGTATGGTATTTAGGATTTAGTTTTAAAATGGATAGAAAGCTTCAAAAATAGAAAACAAAGAAATTTTCTAGGTAAAATTGTTTATAACTGGCTTGAATTTTTTATTGGGGTGCCACAGGGTTCTGTTATTAGAACCTTGATGTTTGCTCTATATATTAATGACATATATTGACTAACTTGTCTACCAGACAAGTTAGTCAATATATGCAAATTATTTTCTGGTGATACAAAGATTCTGATCAAGGTAGTCTCAGAGAAAAGTGCCTTAAGTCTACAGAAAGATTTAAATGCAGCATTTAAATAGACAGTAGACTGGTTTATAAGATTTAATGTCTAAAAATGGGAATAATGCGCTATGGAGTAAACAATAAAAAAAAACCTCTCTGTATTAATGCTACAAAATTACCTGAATCAGAAAGTACAAAATATTTAAGAGTAATTTTTTCAAAAAATCTCAAATGTAAGAACCAACTAATTTCCACAACAAGTAAATGTAGCATGTTGGCTCCTCATACTTAAAAAGTAACTGTAAAGTAGTTGAAACAACATCAAGCCACCAAATTGGTTAAATCATTTTCATTGTTAAGTTATGAAGAGCGTTTAAAAATTGTAAGATTGACAACTCCAGCTTATCGGACAGAAAAGAGGGATATAATCCAACTATATAAAATCATGAGCAAAATAAAAAACAATCGTTAGATTAGGCTGTCACAGTATCCTTAAAGGCATACTCATCGGCTTACCAAGTCAGTTACAGCAAAACTTACTAACTAAATAACTAAGTATTTTAACTAAGTTGTTTATTAGTGTTCTAAATATATTGTTTAGTAGTATTTTTAATATATTGTTTAATAGTGTTTTGATTATATTGTTTAATAGTGTTTTAAATATAAAGTTTAATAGTGTTTTAAATATACTGTTTAGTAGTGTTATGAATATATTGTTTAATAGTGTTTTAAATATATTGTTTAGTAGTCCTGATTTGCAGTTTTTAATTTTTTTTTTTTTAAGTTTTAAATAAAATCAATTTTCAAGCTAAAATTATAATAATCATTTGTAAATTTAGCTTGAAGGAGATAGTAAGTTACAAACTGACCAAGCAGAGGCTGGAACTCCTTTGTAAGTATTACTTTCTTTTTTTTAAATATGTATTTTATTTTCTTGTTTGAAGTATGCATTTTTTGGTTGCCAAGTCCATTTCTATTAAAAGAGAAAAATTTGTATACATAAAAATTAGGATTGATAAAAAAAAACAAAAAACAAACATGAATGAAAAAATTGAAGAACTCTTTATAGTTATTGAAATGTTTGGGTTTAAAATTTGCTTACTCAGCATTTTTTGCAGCACAGTTTTTTTCATTAAATAACAATACTAGTTTAATGAAATTTGATACATGGACAGTTGTCTAAATCGCGTCGTCTATATTTAAATACTAATTTTTTAAATTTGCTAGATCACCTTAACTAAATGTAAATTGAATAAGAAAGGCATTTTGAGTATTTTTGAGTTTAAAATGGTGATGTCATCTCAATAATTTTTTTTGTTTACAACTGTAAACAACAAAGATAACTTTTAAAGAAAAAAATATTGTTGAATTTTTCACTTTTTCTAAATATTAATTTAAGTAAAACTAATTTAAATTAGCTAATCTTATTTTTTGTTGTAAAATGTTTTTTGGAGGTTTTTTTGAAGTCATTAATAAACTTGTTGTACAAGGGGTGGGCCCAAGGTCAGGGAAGGAGGGAGTTATTTTTTTTAAATACTAACTTTTTATAATACAAAGTCTTTATTTTGAACTCAAAATTTCAGTGATCTCAAGGATTATTTTGTGGTTCATTATAATTTTTTTTATTAGTCAATAATGTTGTAGATACATAGAGTTATGTATGTAATTAAATCTAGGTTATATTATTTAATAATTTTTGTTGATTCAATTTTCAAAATTTTGTATATATAACCATTAATTCATTCAATGCATATTTTCTGTTATGAGCCTAAAAAAACTTGAACTGGAACAATAAAAAATCATAAAATGAATTTTATCATTTCCGCTTCTTCTTTTTTGTTTAAAAAATTTTGTAAAGAAGTTGTACTAATGATAATATTAAAAGCACCTTTCTGGCTCTTTGGTTTTTTCCATAGTAGATCTTGGTTGTAATGTTGATTAAACTTTGTTTAATTTTTTTTTAATTGCTTTATTAATCATTGTAAATAGAGTTATTTTTTTATGTTGGCCTCATCATCTACATCAAAATCCTGCCAATTCGTATCATCTTTGTGATGGTGAAGTTTGATAAAGGTTTTAAAGTGTTGGAAAAAGCTTTTATTTTGCAAAGTATTCATCTTATTTTTTGTAACAGCTTTGTATCTTATTTGTATCTACCTAGATACAGCAACTCGAAAATATTTCCTATGGTAACAGCAAACTGTTGTTTAAAAATCCTCCCCAATCAAATAAACTAGCTCTCTAAAGTAAATCATGTTTTTTATTAGTTAGAAATGTTAATGGTTCTAAAAAATTTTGGCTTTTTTGTTAATTTTTGCCTCTATCAATAAACATTACATTTTAATCAATTAAAACATGTTTCCATGATTTAAAATTTCCTTTAAGAACTAAATGATATTTATGTTTTTAAGAAATGACATTTTATTTTAGTTTATAAAAATTATTTATACATTTCATTTGGAAAAGTATAAAGTTTGGATCCTATATTATCACACATCCAAACTTTCTTTTGAAGGATTTTCTTTTATACATTATTGAAGGGTAATATTTTGTTTACTTTTTAATTGCTCTGAGGGAAAGCTCAAAAGTATTTGGTAATTTATTTAAATTTAATCTTACTTTTTGTTTCTTCTTAAAAATACTTTACAATTGGGTTGGGATTGTGAAAGGAGAACGTGCCTATTCAGTTTAGGATCTAACTTATTAACCACCTCTTACATTTGTCTTCTTGTTGTTTATTCTTTAAAAAGAAAATTTTTTTTTCTTTTGAAGAAAAAGAAAGTGCAAAATCTAAATTTGTTAGAAAAAGAAAAGTAAGGTAATAAAAGTAAAATAGTAAAAATTGTAAAGTAATAACAGTTAAAATAATATTTAATATATGACTTTAACTTAAAGTAGAAAACTTATTTTGAAAAAAATTATTAAAAAAAAATTTGTTTCTAAATTATAAACAATTTCTGATAATTTTGCAATATATGATCATTTTTATAAAAGATGGGAGACACAAGGTGACTGGACAACTAACCAGCCTTTGCCAATATTAAAACTTCGCTTGATGGCTGAGCAATCTTCTAAGCTAATGCTCTCTGATGATAAGGAACTTGCTTGTGTAAGTTTAGTATTTTTACTTTTTTTTTTTTTAAGTTTTTGTGTATTCTGTATTTTTTTTAAATTTAGTTTGTTTTCTAAATTAAAATATATAATAAACCTTTTTTAATATTATACTGTGATGCATGGGCTATGTCATTATTAAAAAAAGATAAGCATTAAAAATGACTGAAATTGTTCATAAGTGTATAAAGGCATGAAAATTTTACCAACTACTCAGAAAATTATGCTGATCATTTAGAGATATAGTGGCAAGAAGTGGCATGATGAAAACTGGCTGAAATCAAACCTTATCACTATTTATCAAAACTTTAATAAAGTTTAAACCATTCAGCTAATCTTCACTGAATTGGACTAATTCACTTCACTTGGACTAGGTAAAGTTGGCAATACATTCATTGTTTGACTCTAAACATATGCCTAATATGCTGCATGCTTTATATACTGCATTAGTACATTACATCCACCCGCATGCAACCATTCGAATTAGTAAAAATGAGGTTGGCAATAATTTGTCGGCCTCAATCTTTTAAAGGTCGGCATCAGGTTGGCAAAAAAAATTGATACAAAAGTCTTACCATGAAACAAAAACAAGGTCAACAATTTTTTTTCCAACCTCAAACACTCTAAGGTTGGCATTCGGCAATGCTGACCTAGTTCCGAGGTTTGCACATGTGATGTACTAATGGTCCACCCTAACCTGATGCTAATCTGCAAGTTCTTTTGAGTTAAAAAGATACTGCCTAGCAAAGTTTACACTTGTTTGCTCAGCTGTTCGGTCATACAACAATCAAAAAACTCTCTTGCATCAACTTTATATTGTCAGTCATCAGATCATGAGCTGCAGATAGTGCCAAAAATGCATCAGTTACATCACCTAAACAAGACCAAGTAGACCTGCATTTTTTTTTTAACTTTGATTCAAAAAACTGAGATTGTAAATGCATATCAGAAAATCACTATCAGTAAATGCATGGAAAGCTGGTAAAGCTTTTGATTTTAATGGTCCAAGCTATTTCATACACTGCTGTGTAACAGAAATGTTTGCCAATGCCAAATACAATCTACAACTGGTTGCATGGTGTTTCTCACTAAACAGATATTGCTATAAGAAGAACATTTGTATTTAGTGTACAGATTGCAATATTCTTGTAACCAGCAGCATAATAAGCATTTAAAATGGTGCAATCATCAGTCTCTTTGTGAAAACACAGTTCAAGATTTTGAAAGGCACAAAAGCTGTAGGCACCATATCTTTTGAGTTGAGAAATTGTTTTAAAACTTTGTCAGATTAAAATTGAAAAAACTATTTTATCTTTGTCATCTCTTAGAAATTCATGTCATTTATAGGGGACCTACGCCTGAGGTCCAACACGTACTTTAGCACCATTTCCTCAATTTGCATAAGTAGCAGATATCAATGATCTAGCCATTGTATTTTAACAATTTGTGAACAGAGATAGGGCTTGAATACCTATTATGCATATGCATCATAGGAGGCAACTGTCTTTTCTTAAGCCTTTTCAGGCTTTAATTACTGAAATTACACCTCTTCTAAGAGCCATCGTTTTCAAATTGCTGTCTAGTTTGACAACAAAAGTGTAATCTGGAAAATAAATTTTGCTTTTCACAGTTGCTTTGAGTTGATTTCAAGCGTTTGCTAAGATTATCGTTATGTATCAGGGACACATACGCACTTGCAGTCCTATTAACAAAATGATCTTGAACAAATTATTTGTTCTTGAGTTTGACCTAACTCATAAATTGATATAATATCTGCAGTACAGTTCTCAACATGCCTACTATGCAACACCTAACGTTTTTCACTGTCATCTTGAAAAGGACTACCCATATCAATTAGTGTGTCAACTAGGGCATTTACATCATATTTGAAAGCTGTCTATTTCCTGTTGATCATGATATCTGATATCTTAATTGGTAACATGCATCCCGTATCCAAATTTTCTATGTAAACACATACTTACATATAAAACTTACTTCCAGTTCTGCATTCATCCAATGACTTAATGCATGGTTGTTTTGTGTTACACTAACCACATCACTGTCACATTTAATTGTGGCGTTGGATTGTTTAATGGCTTTGATATAATATCTTTGATATAATATCTGTACTTCCAACAAGCAACAGCTATTAGATTTACAAATTTTAAATAATTTTTTTGATTATGTTTAACTGATTTTGTATGGGATAATATTTAACATTAAGAATCTTTTCTTTAACCATAGGTAACAATAACTCCACATTGTGGAATGCAAGATAACTATGAGTGGTACACAATGGTACCTCATAAATCATGGAGTGGGGATACTATTAAGCTAAAAGTCTCCATTAAAATGGAAAGACCTCAAAATGTGAAAAAGGGGGGGTAAAGTTTTTTTATAATTATTTTCATTAAAATTTAGTTAAAGTATATAAGTAAATAAAAGTGTTGTATTTAAAGTTATTGTAAATAACTCGAATTATGAAAAAATATTTTTTAATAGATTTTTATATGCAAAAGGTCAGAACATATGGAAACAATGGAAAAAGAGATATTTTATGCTTATACAAGTATACTTTTTTATTCTTTTATTCTGTCTTTAAATTTATAACTATTTTTAATTATATTGTATTATCAGGCCTCAGCAGGAAGTGAGAACTTTAGCTCTCGCTTTTGCCCACAATCACCTAAAATGGTTTACATGGTTTAAATGGTCTAAAATATGAGCTACAGCTCTTGCAAGAGAGCTGTAATTCTCACAGCTCTGATTTTTTTTCTCAAAAATATAACTGAAATAAAAAACAAAAAAGTCATTTTTACAAAAAAAAAAAAATTAATTGCATAATAAATTGCAATGCTTTTTAAAAGGCATTGTGGTTACAAAAAAAAATTTTTTTGTTTGTTTGTTTGTTTGTTATTTCACCTCCCCAAGGCAGAGAAGGCCACTATAGACGAGGAGGCTACTTAATTGTGGTTATAACCCTCTCTCAACTCTATAACTCCGAAACACGAACCTTGATGAACAAGGCCACTGCGCAGAGAAACAAGTTGAGCGCGGTACTACCAGGGACATGGTGGGGATCAAACTCAGAACCTCTTGCTTATAAAGCGAGCGCTCTACCACTACACCACTACCGCATTAAATAAAAAAATTAAAGAAAAAATCCAATTGAAATGCAAATGTTTTTGATTAAATTGGACTGATAAATACAAAAAAATTACTCTCTAAATTATATTGATGAAATATATAATTTTTTAACTGATAAAATGTAAGATTGTTGCACTTTAAATTATTGCATAATAATTTTTATTTTATGTAATGAATTATATATTTTATATATTAATTACTTTAATATATTATTCACTTTTAGTTTGGAATTTTTAATTGTTGTAATAATTCTTAAAATGCCTGCATTATATTATAATAAGAAAGTATAAAACATTTTTTATAAACAATGAAAACTTTAACAGCTCTTTTTAATAAAAGAGATTATTATGGTAAGCTTAATGGTTATATAATTATTTGAATAAAGAAATGTGTATATTAAATTTTTTAAATTAAAGACATTGAAGTTTAAAAATAACTAAATCTCAATAATACTTTTTTTTAAGTTTTTGTAATCGTTATTTTTATCACTATTAAAGGCGAAAAGAATATGAAGAGAAACAAAAGTTTCTGAAAAAGTTTTAGTTTTATTTTTTCCTTTTCCTAAAGTAAAATAAAATGGTTCAGGATCTTTAAGGCAACAATATGTTAAAGTGAAAAGGTTACTTGTTTATATTAGTGAAGAATAACTATTAGATAAAGGTTTGGGTAAAAATGAATTGGATATATATTTGAATATATTTGAAGAAGTACTATTAATAATATTAAATTAAATTGTTTATTGTTATTAAAAGAATATATTAAATTGTGAATAATAAATTATATTATATTATATATATTATAAAAATAATATATTAAATTGTGAATTGTTATTAAAAGAATAAAGAAAAAAATTAACTTGAACATCATTTGGCTTTTAAACTTTTTGCTTTAAAAACCGATTACCAATAAAATGGCTGGCTAAAGATTTCATTCATTTAAAAATTAAATTTGCTCGATTACTATATTCTTATTAAGTCTCAAATATTTTAGTTATGTTAATTTATTATTTAAAACAATTAACTCTTGATTGCTAATAAGCAAAAAGTTAATATTATTCTAAATGAATTTTTAAAAATCATTCTATCTTTCTTAAAAATATTTTTCATATTGTCATTAAATTGAGTTTCAAAAGAAGTTTTAATTCAATTTTTTAACAATCTAACATTTGGTTAGTAATTAGATGACAGTTTTGAACATTAAACAAGTTATGGCACATAATTACTTTTTAATTCATTTTATTGTCCTGAAATAAAAAATGAACTAATATAAACAGAAAATTAGTTATTTACTATTGAACTTGAAACCAAAACTTTTTTTACTTTTTTTAAATAAAAAGTAACAAATAAACATTTTTAGGCGCTTTTTTTTGGGTGCCTATAATACCCCAATGGTTTCCAAAACAGATCTGGGTTCATCGCTGAATTTGGGTCTTAAAATAATTTTTTATCGAGATTTCAGAAATAATAAATTACCTATTATTTGTATAACAAAAATAAAGATGTTGGAAAAAAAAAAAAAAAATTCCATCTTCCATTGAATTTCTGTACTTTTTTGCCCACTCCATTCTTTTTTGCATCATTTTTGGTATCAGTTTAGGCTTCTTAGCTGGACATCGTGAAATGTAATTTTTTTCTCTATAACTAAAATAAAGTTTTTTTCTCCATAACTAAAATCACATTTCAGTACTACAGTTAAGAATTTGCTAAGGTACTCATAACTTTAAAAATATCACATCAAATACAATTATTTTTACTTTAAAATAAAAAAAAATATTCAAGAAACAATATTTTTACTGATTTAAATAAATACATTGAAAATAACCTAATATACAAATTCAAAACTCTGGTAATAAAACTCAACAAGTGTATAGCCAAAAGATTTTAGTTAAGATGACATCATACAAAAGGGCTGTCAAAAGTAACAGTGTTGCCAGAAGAAAAAAAAAAACACTGGTTTTATGAAACTTTATTTTAAACAAACTATTGACTTAAAATAATGAATTTTTATTCTTCACATGAATAAAATGTGATTAAATTTCAAAATGATCAAAATTCTTAGATGGCCATAATAAATTGTGACACAACTGTGTGTGTGTGTGTGTGTGTGTGTGTGTGTGTGTGTGTGTGTACATACTACTATTTTTTTTATACCATTTATAATTTTTATAAACAATATGAATAAATGTATGTAAATATATAATCTTAGCTTTTAGACTTTATAACTTCTGTTATTAAGGTACCATTTACCAAAGAAAAGGCACAATAAATATTAAAAGTAACAATAACTGCATGGATTACATTTTTATTGCCATTATAGGTTATCTTAAAAAAATGTAAATTGAAAATATTAAAAATTTAAAGTATCTAAATAGAATCATGAAAAAAAAATTACTTTGGATTTTTTTTTACGACTTTTAAGATGTTTCTTAATTTTCTCTTGTTGCAATAATATTACTACATTAAAGATTAACAAAAAAAGCAAGTTAAGATATAAGCAATGTGCATTTATAAAAAACATTTATTCTTGGTAGTGAATTACAGTAATGAAACTAATCTAATAATCATTTTTTGTGATACACATCAACAAAAAACTAAGCCAAGCCATCTATTAAAAATAGTTTTCTAATAGTAGCTCCCTCATGAAACATGTTTTAAAATTTTAATGCCATAAAACACTGGATTCAATGTAACAGCACCTGGCTTATCAATAACAAAAAATGTACCATTATATAGCAAAACAACAATCATTTATAAAAAAAATTTATTTGCAAATAAAAATTTGTCAGCATAATATTTGTCTAATGATAATTATATTTTAAATACTAGTCAACTTATAAAGAAATGATTTTGCTCTTGAACACGCAACATATGACCAAAAGTAGCAATTCATTTTGAAATAAACATTAACTTTATAAAAAGTTTGACCTCGACTTTTATTTATGGTCATTGAATATCCTAACTTAACAGACAGCGTTTTAGTGTATACCATAAATTTGAATTCACTGGAACTAAGTGAAAGTGAGAAAAAAATCTTGTTATCATCAAAAAACATGTGTTAATATATGTTTTTCGATGTATTTTTGGTGTTGTGCGCATAATATTGCATATTACCCATAGCAGGAATCTAACCTTTGATTCCAAAGTTGAAATATAATCAATATTATGTGCACTACACAGTAAGTCCAGCTTTAAGTTCTCAATTTTTATGTAACAATAATGTGTTAAAACAGTCATAACGTGTATTCACATAAGTTTATATGCAGTAATATAACAAGTTTAACAATATCGAAAGTTGTAATGAACTGGCCAAATATAACTTTTTGTTAAATTTAAATCTTCACCCAGCATAAAAGTAAGATAAAAGTTTTAAATGAATCATTTAACACAGTTACTAATATAATTGTTTAACACTTAATACATGCTAAAAAAGCTGTAACTTGTAGTTTAGGCATATTTAAGGAGAATTCATAAGAAGCTATTAATTAATAAATAAATAAACTTTATTAAAAATCATATTATAGTTTATAATATATAAATATGTGTCATAGCAAGTTAAGAAAACTCTAAAACAGTTTGTTGAATGTATATAAAACAATGCAATATCTACTCTTACTAAAATTATTAAACATATTTTGTTATTGTTACAAATTATTGTTATTAAAATATCTTTATTTCATTGTAATTAAAGATTCATTGTATATTTAAATTAAATTGAAATAGTGATATATAAGTTATAAAAAAGTTATTAACTATTCAAGGTTTTAAATGGTAATTTTAAAAATTGTTCAAAGTAATTTTTTCCAACAATAAATATATTATAAAATGTTGGCTATTAAATACAGTTATTAAAATTTAAATCCATTTTTTTATTAGTTTTTTTTTTTAAATGGGGCTCATAAAAGATATATTCTTTGAACTTTCAAATGAACTTCAAAGAATATATCTTTTATGAGCCACATTGATAAAAAATATTGGCTCAAAATCATTTAATTAAATGTATTTTAAAAGAGGAAAAATATTTTATTTTATATAAATTTTTTTATTTTAGGATGAATATTTTGGAGACAACCATAAAAATGTGCATTATTTTATTTATCAAAAATAAAAATAAAAAAATGAAATATACACTGATAATTAAAAGCAAAGAACAAACTTAAAAAAGTAATAAAATTACAATTATGGTCCTCAATTTTTTATAAAAGCTTGGTTTTATTTAAATTTTTAGTGTTTGTTCTCCTTGTTAACTTTAATTTAATATTAGTTAATGATTAGAAATGTGAGTTTTAATGAAAACTTACCAAAATCCACGTAAATGAAAAGAAAAGAAAAATCCAAATGCAAAGTTGTTCTAATATTGAAAAAATAATTTATTGCTTATTTTTATAGAATAAATAAGTCACCAAAAGTCTTTGCTATAATAATTCAAACTCAACACTAGTTAATCAGTATCTTGTAAATCGATACTGAGAAGGATGGTCTCGTATCATGTGGTATTGCTTATTTACTAATGTTGATATCATCAGTTATATACTAATGTTGATATTATCAGGTTCGACAACACACGATACTGACAATAAAAAGAGTTGTATGGGAATAAATGGTTGCATAGTCTTGATAAGAAGAAAAAAAAATTAAAATGTGACTTTTTGAATTTTAGACTATACCAGATAAGAAATGCACAATCATTACAACACAAATATTTAAATTAAAATAACAAAACTAGATGAGAAATTCAAGAATAAATATGATTTCATACAATACCACTCAATCTTTGAATCAAAAATTCTCTTCCAACAAGGCTGCAAGCAACCACTATTAAGTTGAGAGTTATTAGAAAAAAAGAATAGAGTTATAGAGCAAGGAAACAGTTGACAGAAGACTTAAAAAGTTGAAGGTTGTATGAGTCAGGAAAATGTCAGGAGATGCGGGGAAAAAAACTAGACAAATAAAAGTTTTTAGAGCATGCAGGGAAAAATAAAGTAAAATAATTAGACTTAACTGAATATGAAATGAGTCAAGCGAGCACAAGTTTTAGTTGATGGAAAAAGAGATATTAGCTCCTTTGAGCTGCTACCATGATAGTATTTTTAGTAAAGAGAAAGAGGTGCAACTTTACGATGATGGGATAGAGCAGGTCTAACTACGTTAACAATACATTTTTAGAAATGTATTGTAAGCGTAGTTTACAATACATTTCTAAAAATGTATTTTAAACTACGTTTTCTTGTCTAGAATTAATTCCTTGTCTAGAAGAGAAAGAGCATCATTAGAAGAATCAGCCCAAATATGACAATGGTTTTCTATGTAGAGATGAATAAAAGACTTTTAGAGGTAGAGAATGAAATCAGGAGTAAAAAAATGGCGAGCACAATAAAGAGAAGCAACCTTAGCAGATGCTAATTTAGCTATCAATTGTATATATGGTTTCTCTGAAAGATCAGTAGTAAATGATAATTCAAGAAGACGTAAAGAAGAGGACTAAGTGAAAAGGTTGCCATTCTTTTTTCTTTTTTTTATAAGGTGCCTCAAGAAGTCTTAACGGTCTTATCACAGAGCACTGCAGAAGAGCATTTAATAGGAAGTTTACACCTCCTTCCCAACTGCTGTGGCAAAACTTGCCCAAAGGTGGGATTTGAAGCACAGATCATTTCTATAGCAAGGCATACTGTCAACATTCCTATTAACATTTGAATGTTGATAGTACTGCGATAGTTGTTTGCAGTAAATAACTGAATTGGAGTTATATTATACTAAATGATTCAATTATAGACATTCAGTTATAATATAAATTTAATATTTCAAATTACTCATCGCCTACGATAATAAAATACATATTCTCGTGACTCGATACCAATCATCTAGTGACCACTTTTTTCATCTTAATATTGACCTTGTAAGGTATTGCACTGATACCATATAATAAATCAAAACTATACAATACAAACACTATGGTTGTTATTGATAAATATATAACATCAAAATAACTTTTACAACTAAATTCAACAACATGATTTCTTGAAAAAATTTTAATTTTTAACTAATTGATATGTTATGATTGATTAGCCTTGATTAGCTTTGATTAGCCTTCTTGATAATTCTGGGCTCCTCTACTTTACAGATGAATTAAAAACTAAAAAATAAATTAAAAATATCTTAAAAAGTCTTTACATATCTGAATCTATCTGTTTTAGGTTAGCCAATACAAGTTTGTTCTATGTTCATATCGACCTAAAAAGCAATCACCTCGAGAAATTATGGGAGTTGAATCATACACTGTAAACTTTACTGAAAAAACTGAAGGTTTTTTTAATTTTATATATTTCATTTAAAAACAAATTAGTTAATGAAGTTGTTATGAAATTTGCTACAATTTAGCGAAAACATCATGTTTTAAAGTTAATGACATGTCAATTCACGGAAATTGATGGATAGTTGATAAAACTACCTAAAAGTAAACTTTTAATTTTTTTCACATAAAATTTACAATAATGATAATGATAATAATAGTAATGATAATAATAAATTCTTTAAAGGTTATCTCTAATATGTATAGTATTAAAATATAAAACATAAAGTTAATGAAGCTACATTTTATCATAATCATAAAATATCATAATCATAAATTATTTGATTTTATGATGTAAATAAAAATCATAAAAGGTCATAAAAAATTCGATTATAGGTTGAGCAATTTGTTAATTTAAGTCATTGTACTGCTAAGACAAACTAATTTTTAACTTGGTTTTAAGTTGGTTTGCGTTTGGTCGTTTTTCGATTTTTAAAATTTTATTGATTCTTTTTCATATTTACAATAGCAATATTGAATAATTTTAACATTTTGAATAATAGCTTGCAAAATGTTTTGAATAAAATATATAGGTTAAACAGGTAGTCTAGTAAAAATGAAGTTGAACCAGAATCAATTTTTTATGAGTAATAGACTCTGTATGGGCTGATCTTCATAAAACTTATAAATTGAATATTGATTGGAAAAATGTTGTTTCTGAAATTAAAAAGAAATTTTTATATAAGAGCTATTTGCAAATTTTTAGAAATACTAAATTGTTTCCACTCAAAGTTCAGATATTAATAAGAATATAGGTAGGTATGTCAAAACCATTAATGACATGGTATGTTTGCAAATATGAAAAAGAATCAACAATGTTTAAAAAAATTGAGAAACCAGCCTCAGGCAATGAACTTGGTCTTAGCAGTAAAATGACATCAAACAGCTTATATTTAAAAACTTGATGTTTTAAATTTAGTACTAATAATATTAGTATTAATGTTAATTAATAGTATAAATGTTAATAATAATAATAATAATAGTTCTATAATATAAATAATAAAAAAATTTTAAAAACATAAATACAAATTATATTATCAAATAAAAGTTATTATAATCATCGCCATATAATTTTTTTTTATATTATTATAAGCTCTGATTTAATCTTTGTAAAATATTAGAAAAAAAGTAATAATAACATATCACAGCGATCACAAAAACCAAAATAATGTTTTTAACACTTAAATTATAATAATAAGTAAAATATAGGTATAACTATGATTACCAAATCATAATGCAATTCTTAATGTATTACATAACTGTATAATATTTTCATACTATTTTTATTTTATTCAATTATAAACATCATTTTTGAAAAGTATATTTATCCAAGTTGTATTATTAATAAAGTTGCAACAAATTGTGACATAAAGAAACAAAAAAAAATAGTTTTCATTCTTAAAGAATTTTTATATTATAAATTCAAAACAAAATTTTATAATGATGACTATTGTCTTGAATAGAATTCTATACAACCTAAGCTAACCTAAGATTGATTTTATATATATATGTTTTTTTTTTTGAGCTAGAAGAATTAGAAGGAGGCAGATTCTTTTTTAATATCGTCAAAGCTGGAGATGAAGTGTTATTTGCTGCTGATGAAAATGCTGATCGAGTCAATTGGGTTTATAATTTATGTAATGCAACTGGTCAGTCATTTAAACCTTCCTTTCCAAAGCCACCATCTGGGGCTGATCGTGTAATACAAAAAATTAGAGGGGGTGAGAATGTTTTTTATTTTATAAATCTGTGTTTGATTATATTTAAACTTATATTTTATATTTTATATTTGATTATAAAATACAACTTCTTTTTTCAGACAAAATTTTTTTTTTACTTTTTTTTTCTGACAAAAATTTCTGCATACATCATTAATAATCTTTAACCTTTTGCATGACAAAGTTTAAATTAAAATTTAACTTAACTATGACAAATAAAAAGTTAAGCATAATCAGGTGGTTAGCCAGTCTGATGGCACCATGAGTGCAGAATTCCCAATTGGTTTAAATTTCCCAAAGGTTCAAAATCATTGTTAAAAAAAAAAAAAATTATATCCGCCTTAGATTTAAAGTGTTACTCTCGACAAGTAAAAAATTAATTACTACGCACAACAAAGAAATGAATAAAGTTGATTTTTTCGATTATCAATTTTTATGTGAAAAAAAACCGTTCTCACAAGCAAGTAAGATCATTCATTCTAAAGTTAAAAAAAACTTTATTTTATAATTGATGTCAGCTGTTCCTATTTTACATTTTTCAATATGTTTTATAAATTATTTTTTTTAATTTGTTCTTATTATTAAAAAGCTTTTTATTTTTTACATTTTTACTGATTATCTTAATCAAAATATATGTAAATTTTAAAAATTAAAAAAAAAAATTAATTTTTGTATTCAATTTTTTTATTTATTTAAACACCTAGTATACTGGATAATTAAATTTACTTGCTGCTTTTGTGCAGTGAATGATCTCTGTCCCTTAAATACCTGTGTAGCTTATTTAAATTAATTCTAAAATGGTCAGGTCAGGTTATCCTGGTCAGGTCAGGTTATCCTGCTACTGGTAACATGTAACCCAGTTCAATATATATATATATATATATATATATATATACCAGTAGCAGGATAATCTGACCTGGTCAGGTTATCCTGGTCAGGTCAGGTTATCCTGCTACTGGTAACATGTAACCCAGTTCAATCTGCTTCATGTCCTACTGCCTTGTAGGATACGCCTTTTTAGGCAAAGGCTAGGAGATGCTAACTCCGACATAAAACACCCCCTGCCTTGGGGCTCTTGGTTGAGAAAAGGCTAGAGATGGTGTCTCGATAAAAATACTCATCTTGGGCAGATGTTAAATGCATCTGGCTGCTGTCTTGTAGAAGGCCTCCTAGGCAAAGATTTAAGGGGTAAACAGATTCTATCTGTTGAACAGCCTCGCACCCTTTCTTCATCTATTAGGCTGGCGAAGATGTATTTTTAATACATTGTTTCCAGTTTAGGATGTTGAATGCTGGATCTTTTTAACTTAATGCATGTGTTTGTTTGTATCTCTGTTTTTATGACTAGGCAACTCGTTCTATTATCTCCTGATGGGGGTACAGCTCTAAAACTCAGTTTTATGGTTCTGAGGCTGGCTGGTAGTCAAGTTTCCTGAACTCTGTGGTAGCTCTCAGAGAGGCTGATTCCATCAACAGCTGTAAAATATCAAAGTACTAAGTGCCATGTTGTGCTTGGGCTATTAAACAGTGTACAATTGCTTGGGCTATTAAACAGTGTACTGAGTACTATCTATGTTTTGAGTCAAGTTCTTTGACAAATTTAAAAATGAATAAAGTAACAAAAACTATAAAACACAAAAAACCACTGTCATCACCAAGTTTGCTAAACTTATCATTCACTAATATTCGTGGTCTTCGAAGTAACGAAGTTACTTACAAGTCTTCGAAGTAATTTGGCCTGGGCATTTACATTTGTAAGAATTTTCTGTTGAGTCTTATCTCTTGCAAAGTTCATCAGACCTACTTGCTTTTTGTGAGACTAATTTGAGTTCAGCTGTCTCATCTTGTGATCTTAGTGTTGATGGTTATCTTCCTTAAATTCATAAAGACTCCAATAGTCACATGCTTGGCCTGGGCATTTACATTTGTAAGAATTTAAACATCTGTCAGGAAACTAGATCTACTCGACTTATGTCAGTGCTCAGTTTCTTCTCATTCACGCTTAGGTGCCTCTGATCACAATTTGATCTCTCTAAAACTATTATCTCATTCTTCTTCATCATCTGAATCCCCTATCATTGTGCATCTTACAACTACCTTAAAGCTGACTGGGGCTCTTTCCGTGATTTTCTTCGTAATGGCACTTGGGTAGAAATCTTTCGTCTTTCTGTTGACAAATGTGCTTCTTACATAACTTCTTGGATTCAGGCTGGCATGGAATCCTTTATTTCCTCTTGATGATTCCAGGTCAAGCCCCATGGTTTTCCATGTTGTGCTGCTGCAATTGCCAATCAAAACCATTACTTCCATATCTATCAGCAACTCAATTCTGCTTAAAACAGGATGTCTGTTTATTACTGCTAGGAACCATTGTAAAAAGGTTTTGTCTAACGCCAAAGCCCGCTATTCTCAGGTCATGAAGTCTCGTATTTCATTACAAAAATTAGGCTCTCATGACTTCTGGAGAATCTTTAATAGTATCAATAATAAGGGCAAGTCTGTGATTCCACCTTTTTTGTATGGTTCAGACTTTGTCACCTCACCTAAAGACATAGCTGAATTATTTGCTAAGAACTTTTCATCAATATCATCTCTTGATTCCACTAGTTGTGTTCTATCTGATATAGCCATTAAACAGGTTGATCCATTGCTTGACATTTGTATCACTCCAGCTTCTGTATCTTAAGTGATTTCCTGCTTAGACTCTTCTACAGCTTTTGGCCCGGACAACATACCTGTTACAGTCTTGCAGAGGTGTTCTCCTGAGCTGTCATCTGTATTTTCAAAACTGTTCAACAAAAATAGGGATAACTATTCAAAAAAAGTAGGGATAACAGATGTTTCTTTTCTGCTGGAAAGCAACATCTGTTATCCCTATTTTTTTAAATTCTGGAGAGTGATCTGACTCATCTAACTACCATCCCATTAGTCTTCTTCCTATCATAAGCAAGTTTTTGAATCTTTAATTAACAAACACTTAATCTTTTATTTTGAATCTAATAACTTACTTTCTGATCATCAATATGGGTTTCAATTTTCTCGTTCTATGGCTGATTTGCTAACAGTAATAACCGATAGGTTTTATTGTGCATTAGCTAAAGGTGGAGAGGTTAAGGCCATTGCTCTTGATATTTCTATAGCATTTGATAAAATTTGGCATGCTTGTCTTCTCCATAAGCTTTTTTCTTACAGTGTATCTGGAAACATCTTTAAGATTATTGAAACCTTCCTTTCCAATCGTAGTATAAAAGTTATCCTTAATGGACAGCACTCTTCTTCTTATTCTGTAACCTCAGGGATTTCTCAAGGTTCAATCCTTGGCCCTATACTCTTTTTAATTTATGTTAACGATCTTCCAGATACTCTCACAATTAAGGTGGCATTGTTCGCTGATGATACTACCATTTATTCTTGTCATGATAAGAAGCCAACTCCCTCTGATTGCTTGCATTTGAGCTTGAAAAGGATCTCACTTCTGCTACAGCATGGGGCTCACTGTGGCTGGTGAATTTTAATTCAGATAAAACCAAATTTTTTTCAGCCAATCGTTATCGAAATAATTTAGACCTTCCTATATTTATGAATGGTAATGTACTCAATGAGTCATCTACCCTTCATATTCTAGGATTAACTCTTACTTCTGATCTTTCTTGGAAACCATATATCACATCTATTGCAAAATTAGCATCTGCTAAAGTTGTATCTCTTTTTCAAGCTCGGCACTTTCTTACTTTTGATTTAATTCTCTATATAAATCTCAAACCCGTATGGAATACTGTTGCCATATCTGGGGCGGATCTTCTAATGATGCTCTTTCTCTTTTAGACAAGGTGCAAAAATGCATTGTAAATATTGTAAACGTTGGACCTGCTCTTGCAGCCAACTTTCAACCATTATCACATCATTGTAATGTTGCTTCTCTTTCTCTTTTATACAAATACTATAATGGGCACTGCTCTAAAGAGCTAGCATCTCTTGTGTTATCTACTAAAACTTCATTCTCGTGTTACTTGTCATTCAATTTAGTCTCATCCTTTTTTTGTTACTGTTCCTAAGTGCTTTAAAAACTCTTATTCGTCTAGTTTTTTTCCTCGAACATCAGTTCTTCTGAATTCGCTTCCTTTATCTTGCTTTCCTGATTCATATAATTTGCAATCTTTTAAGTTTTCTGTCAATCGTTATCTTGCTCTACAATCTTTATCTTTTCTCTTCCAGTAACTTCCAACACTAATTAGTGGTTGCTTGCAGCCTTGTTGGAAGCCAAGATGTTTAAAGTTCTTTTTAATAATATTCTATTTGACCAAAATTCGCAAGCAAATAAGTTTCTCATCAAAAAGCTTTTGAGCTTTATTAAACTTTTAAATTAAAAGCTATTCAATTAAAATAAGTTGCTGATGGCGTTTTAAATATTTTAATACTATTTATCGAAGTTTTAAATTTCATTAAAATCATATTTAATGCATTTTTAGAGTGGGTATGGTTCACACCTACATAGCCTTTTTCTTAAATATCAGAATGCAATGATCTTTTTTCCTTTATCTTTTTTTCAAGCCACACCTAAATTCCCAATATCACAAAAATGCTGTATTAAATTTTATTCTGTGCAACAGAATAAAATTTAATACCCTGATAACTTATGATTACGAGAATCATAAATTATCAGGGTTATTCAAATTAAAGGGCTTTTTTATAATTGTAAATTAATGATTCATGTGATTTTGCTTCATTTGATTTTGCTTCATCTTGCACCCAACATGATACACTTTTAATTATTTTTTTTGTGGATAATATTACAAACTTTTTTTATCCTATAGAACACATTAAGGGGGTGGCAGCATATATTTTTCAAAAATGTTGTTTTTTGGACATGTTATTTAAGTATGAAATAACATGTCTAAAAAACAATAAAATACATGTCCAAAAAAACAAAAATGTTGGTTTTTGAAATGTTATTTCAGTATGACATTACACTGGTCACCTCAATTAGCAGTATAATGTTTCATTATACAGCTGATTAAGGTGAGCAGTGTAATGTTATACTGAAATAGTCTGCTGTCGGGTGCTTCAGTACATACATCAACTGACAAATAGTCTAACTTGCAATAGAGGGCTGCTACATTGACTGAGGGTTCAGCATGGGGCCGCAATCTTTTCATTCACTGTTCTTCAGTTTTTTCTTCTTTTTCTAAAAAAGCCGTATCGATTTAGATAAGCAAAAAAAGTGAGCAAATGATTATATAAATACGCTATAGTAGATAACCACTGTGCCACGGCTTTGTTAAAGTTATTAAAACATTTTTTATTAGTTGTAACATCAGGGATATAACAAGTTTTAAATATAGGTCTATTTTTTTCTTAATCAACATTAATGATTTAAAATATTTTTTCTTCAAATACTCATTTATTAATAATGCAACCGACCGACTTATTAATAATCTCTTTATTGGATCATTCAATATTATGACCATGTTTTTCATGCGATGCAACCTACATTCCTGCCTTGATAAAGTCATCTTTTTTTGATAGCTTAAATGTACTACAAAATGATTTTTTTTTTCTGTTATTGTGTTGGGCTCACAATAGTTGATCTTTTTACTGCTCACAGTAGTTGATTTTTACTTAACTAAAACTCTGTTTTTTTAGCCATCAACATGATAACTTTAGATATTCAAATATTTATGAATTGCAACATATTTAGATACAAACTTCTACTTATAGCTTCCTAAATTTTTTTTAGAAATGATTTTTTGCTGACTTTCTTGATTTATACAAGTTGCAAAATTAACTTACAAAATTAACAAAAATAACTAAAATTAATTGTCTGCCATTTTTTAGAAATAAGTTGATAATAAAGTTGCATTGTGAAATGCACTTAATAATAATCAAAAATTTATTTTGAATATATACTCAATAAAAATTTATGTTTAAGTATTTAAAAAAATAAAAAATAAAGATGAAATAAAACATTAAATTTCATTATACATAAAATAGTATATCATATAATTCTAACTACTACACTAGTGTAAATTTACAAATTAGAATTTTTTTTTATATGTAGACATGGATAGAGCTTTAAAGCATGGGCTCGGAGACATTGTACAAGCAAATCCGTTTGAGTTTGATCAAGCAGAAATGTTTGCCATGCTTCAACGCCTTACATTACTTCATCGACTTAATGATTCTTACACATGTTTGGTAATTATTTTCTCAAATATTAAAATTTTAGTTTATAAAATAAAATAAGGATTATCTTTTTTCGGATATTTTACCCTATTTTCTAGATTTTTAAAATAAGACCTGGATGATCTATGAAATAATGGTTTTCACATACATTTATTATATTACCTTTTATTTTTGTATTTCTATGCATTTTAATTACATGACTATGCATTCATTCAATTCTTCAGCTGTTAATTAGTAAATAATTTTCCGTTTGTTTAATTTAATTTATATTCAAACTGGTTTATCAGTATTTCATTATAATTGCTTTATGTTTAATACTTTGAGAACGTTTTTCTGTTGTTTTTAATATCCCATTGGTTTATACTGTAGCTCTTAAAAAGTGTTTACTACTAGTTTAAAAAGTGTTTTCTTACTGGTTTATGTAGAATAATTTAAAAGTATGTTTTTAAGTGATTTGAAAAAATCAATTCAAAAAATACAGTTACAGCAAAAATAACAGTCTATTTTTTTGTAAATAAAAATTTTTTGAGATATGAACTATTTTCTTCTAATTTTTCCTAAAAATGACAATAAATGTTTTATTGATTGAACAAGAATTAGCTAATTAAGGTGGTTATAAGTTAAAAAAAATTTATTCAATTGCTTACTTTGTCACATACTAAATCTAGTTTCAAAGAAAAATACTGCTTAGTATAATAAAAATTTTTGACAGCGTTGACCGTATTTGGGCACAGCCCAAATTAAAAATTGAGGCCCTTTTTTCTTTTTATATGGCAAATATATTTTAATTTTCTCCGGGATGGGAGGTACTGCTGCCCAAATTTTTTTTCTCAAATAGCTCAGATTTATATATTAAATTCTACACAAAGTTGGCTACTAAACTGAAAATTAATTTTTTTCACAAAAGTTAGTTAAAGTTGATCACTAGTTTTAAAAAAATTAACAGAAATAAGTTACAAATATTTGTACTTTTTCTACAATACAAAAATTTGCATTTGAAAATGCTGATTACATATATTTGTTTATAAATTTGTATAATGGAATCTAAAATTAACATATTTGTATTTGATTAAATGTATTTGACTTTAACCCAAGTGGTTATAACACTTGAACAGCATTTATTACAGGGTAAATATTGTGAACATTAATGAGGCTAATATATATAATTAAAAATTTATATGATGAGAAATAGTACAAAGAATATACAATCACAGAAAACAAATTGATTTAATTTAAAAATATTGATTGTGCAACTTTATATTGTAATACTTTCAAATGTGAAATTACTTAATTTAAGAAATATTTCAATTATAGGGTTGGTTCTCACCTGGTCAGCTTTTTGTACTTGATGAATACTGTGCTCGCTATGGTGTTCGTGGTTGTCACAGGCATCTCTGTTATTTGGCAGATTTGCTAGAACGAGCAGAAAATGGAACAATGATCGATCCTACACTTTTTCATTATAGTTATGCATTTTGTGCATCTCATGTTGTGGGGAACAGGTATTTTAAAATAACCATACTATATAGGTAATTCCGCAAGAGTGGCGGTCGTAACATTTGACACTCTTTAAACTATTAAAAATGAAACGAAAATGGAAATGACTTGAAACTTTACAGAAATGTGAAATACTACTATATAATTTAGTATTTAAAAGTTACAGCAAGTCTTAAACTTTTTTTAAAGATTAACTCTAAATAACATGGCGGTCATAACACTTACTTTTTACCACATCTGAACAAAACAACTTTGTCAGACTTAATGCAGCGAACGGCATGGTAAAAAAAATCATTTGGTGTGCGTATTTAGCATATATTGATGTTATTATATGCTGAGTTCCATAGTTTTTACTTGAAGTTTTACAAGCATTTTAATGTTTTTTCTGTTGTGACTGTCGTAACCATGATGTTCATAATGAAAAATCCAATGCTTAAAAACTAATAAAATGATGCAATCAATGATGTAAGAAAAATATATAAATAATCATTAACAACCATGTTTATTATGTTAAAAAATGCTCTATAAAATTATCAAAGTTCTCAATTATAGATATACGATACTATTTTTAACGCTACACAACAGGACTGTAAATAAGCGTCAAAACAAGTTTATACAACCCTTACTACATTAAAACCATGCTATGATGTGATAAAATGATTTTTTTAAATAACTTTTTTGCTTAAAAGTATTTTTAAATAGTTGAAGAAAAAGAGTTATAGAGGTTATGGAGTTTTGTATGTGTTTTCATAACTTTTTTGCTTTTTTTTTTTCCCGCTCTTTCTCATGGAATTGCCCATCTATAGATATGTGTATGTATGTGTATATGTGTGTGTGTGTGTGTATATATATATATATATATATATATATATATATATATATATATATATATATATATATATATATATATATATATATATATATATATATATATATATATATATATATATATATATATATATATATATATATATACATATATATATGTATGTATATGTAAGTATGTGTGTATGTATATATATGTATATGTAAGTATGTGTGTGTATATATATATATATATATATATATATATATATATATATATATATATATATATATATATATATATATATATATATATATATATATATATATATATAGTCTTGCATGTCTCTTGCGTAGCATCAAAAAATATTTCCCATAAACTGTAGTTTTAAAGAGCGCGTTAATAAACCAGACCAGAAAAAGTTTTAAAAATTAAATTTTTTTTTTTAATTGATAGACTGCCTGGCCAAACCAAACCCTCAGTCGATGTAGCAGCACTCTCTTGCGAGTCAGGCTATTTGTCAGTCGTTGTAGCAGCACTCCCTTGCGAGTCAGGCTATTTGTCAGTCGATGTAGCAGCATTCCCTTGCGAGTCAGGCTATTTGTCAGTCGATGTAGCAGCACTCCGTTGCGAGTCAGGCTATTTGTCAGTCGATGTAGCAGCACTCCGTTGCGAGTCAGGCTATTTGTCAGTCGATGTAGCAGCACTCCGTTGCGAGTCAGGCTATAAGATAGTCGATGTAGCAACATTTACGCATGTTTAAAAAATGTTTTTTATTAAATCAATTACAAAAACACCACTAATTAAAAAAAACTTTCTAGTCGTTATAATTGCGGTTTTTTAAAAAATTTTTAAAAAACAATTAAATTTAATGTACTTCCGCATAAATTAATTGCTTTGACATTTCGATGACAATCAAAAACAGCTTAAGAGACGAGGTAATTAAAATTGTAGTCGTAAGAGACTTTTTTTACATTAAAATGCTCTTAAAGCGACACTATATGAGTATATATATATATATATATATATATATATATATATATATATATATATATATATATATATATATATATATATATATATATATATATATATATGTATGTATGTATATGTAAGTATGTGTATATGTATATATATATATTTATATATATATATATATATATATATATATATATATATATATATATATATATATATATATATATATATATATATATATATATATATATATATATATGTATATGTATATGTAAGTATGTATATATACTATAGCTTACATAGGTATACGCCAAACAATGTTGTATGTTTATTTAATTGTATAGGGTTTTATTGCAAAAAGAAAAAAATAATGACAAGTAAAAAAAAACTTCTATATTTGTATATATATCTACTATAGGGCATATATATATTTGTATATATAGGTATATATTTGCCAACTTTTTTGCTGACTTGAACTCATACAGCTTTTTCAAAAAAAGAAAGCGCAAAACTGAATATTTTAATTAAACAAGTGTACAGCTTTGTATCCTATTGCTAAAACGAAGGACTTTGTAAAAGATTTTGTTGCCTCATATCACCTTAAAAAAACTAAAAAGCACTATGTGGCTAAGTGGAAGAACAATATAAACAAACCAACATCTCGTAAGCCTGAATCAAATGAAAAATAAAAAATTATGGCTGCTAGTAACATCAATTATATGAAAGACCTCTTTAACAACAGGTCTTGAACTTTGGCAAGTAAAGTTGCAAAAAATGTAATCAGTTCTGCAAAAATAATTTTTTTTTTAAAGTTTAGGATTTTATTTTAAAAAATTTGGGATTTTATTTTATTGAAGTTTGGGATTTTACTTAAAAAAAAAAAAAAAAATCCCACTGATAAACAAAAAAAGCAGTTACAACTGAAGTGTATATAAATTTGTCTCAAATTCAGAAACCACGAATTTACTGTTGATGATAAGCCATACTTCAAATTTAAACGTACAAATAAAGTTTCCTAATTTTACTTAAAATAATCCCATAAATGATCAAAAATTATAAAATACAAGCACAAATACAAATTTTTGTGTGGACCCTATTTCCTTAGGAATAAGGTAATCTACACAAAAAATTTGTTCTACTAATTGAGTGGAATATCTCAACCAGTTATTATTTCTGCTAAAATGGAAATTAACCAAACAACATATAAAAATGATTCATCATTAAAAGAATAATTCCTTTTATTAAAAAACATCACAGTGATGATAACTAAGTATTTTGGCCTCTTTGCACAATGACAAAATTATGACTAATTACTGGATAAAAAAAGTATCCATTATGTTACAAAAGTTGATAATTTGGCGCTTGTGTTCCAAAATTACAACCTATTGAGAATATCTGGTCAATCCTTAAAGGCTATAAAGGCTATGTATAAAAGCTATTGGGAAGCTGAAAATGAAAAAAAAATGGTTTAAAAATTTTTCTCATCTAGTGGAATAAAACTAGTGGAATTAAGAGATGATATTGATGAAAAGTTCTTACCAAATATTTCAGCTTTGTCTTTAAGTGAGGTGACAAAGTCTGAACCATACAAAAGAGGGTGAAAAAGAGGCACCTTATTATTGATACTATTTAAGATTCTCCAGAAGTCATGAGAGCCTAATTTTTGTGATAAAATATGAGATTTCATGACCTGAGAATAGCGGGCTTTGACAAAACCTTTTTACAATTATTTCTAACAGTAATAAACAGACGTCTGTTTTTAGGAGATATGTTTTGCTGATAGATATGGAAGTAATGGTTTCGATTGGCAATTGCAGCAGCACAATATGAGGAAAATCATGGAGAAGAGTGAGCTTGACCTGGAATCGTCAAGAGGGAATAAAGAATTCCATATCAACCTGAATCCACAAAGTTATGTAAGAAGCTTATTTGTCAAGACATAAGATTTTTACCCAAAGGCTATCATGAAGAAAATCAGGAAAAGAGTCCCAGTCAGCTTTAAGGTAGTTGTAAGATGTACAATGATAGGGGGATTCAGATGATGAAGAAAATTGAGATAATAGTTTTTGAGAGTTCAAATTGTGATCAGAGGCACCTAAGGGTGAATGAGAAGAAACTGAGCACTGACTAGGATCAGAAACAAGACATAAGTCGAGTAGAGAAGGTAAATGATTCGGGTTGTCTGGAAAGCGAGTTGGAAAGTTGACTATTTGAGTTAGGGATTGAGAAAGGCAATAGTTGTGGGCTTTAATACTTGCAGAGTATTAAAACCCACAACTAGAGCCAAGCTATTCACTTACACTAGAGCCAAACTATTCAGTGTGATGAACATTAAAGTCACCAACAACAACAATATTGGTTGATGGATAAAGAGAGAGGGCATGGTCAATATGATCAAAAATAACATCAAGAAAAGTGTAGTCTTAAGATGAAGGAGAGCGATCTAGAACAAAGAGAAAGGTAATAGAGTGAAGTGGTGCTGAACAAAAGCACATAAAAGAGTGAATTCAGACCTAGTTTCCTGACAGATGGTTAAATTCTTACAAATATAAATGCCCAGGCCAAGCATGTAACTATTGGAGTCTTTATGAATTTAAGGAAGATAACCATTAACACTAAGATCACAAGATGAGACAGCTGAACGCAAGTTAGTCTCACAGAGAGCAAGTAGGTCTGGTGAACTTTGCAAGAGATAAGACTCAACAGAAAATAAGTTACTTCGAAGACCAATGTGTGTGTATGTATATATATATATATATATATATATATACATACATACATACATACATACATACATACATACATACATATATATATATATATATATATATATATATATATATATATATATATATATATATATATATATATATATATATATATATATATATATATACATACATACATACATACATACATACATACATACATACATACATACATATATATATATTATATATATATATATATATATATATATATATATATATATATATATATATCACATACATACATACATACATACATATATATATAATAGTTATTTTATATATATATAATAATAATTATCTGTATATATTTATATATAATAATGACCTATATATGTATATATAATAATGACCTATATATGTATATATAATAATGACCTATATATGTATATATAATGCCTAATAATAAACCTGTATTTGTATATATATATACTAGTTACTTGTTTATTGACTAATTGTTTTATGTTTTAATGAGGTAATTTGACAGTAGATAAACAATGAGATTTTATTTTTAAGAAAACTTTCTTAAAAATAAAATAACTAGTTATATAAAAATTAATTGTAATTTAATGTTAAGACCTGATGGTGTAAATACAGTCACTGTTGATGAGAAAGAGCGATTTGATGAAATGAAGAATCGTTTGAAATCTTATTTGGCAAACCAGATAACTCATTTTAGGTAATGTTAAAATCAAAATATTTGTTTGAAATGTGAGAAAAAGTTTTATTTTATTTTGTTTAAATTTTCTGTTATAATTTTTTTTTTTTAAATTTTTTCCTTTTAAATTTTAATTTTATCATATATTTTTATTTAAAAGAAATCTTTTAACAAATATTTTTTTAAATTTTGATGTTTAACATTATATTTAAAAAAAAAAAAAGGAACTCAAGATGGTACATGACCAGCTAAGCATAAAATGCTGTAATATAATGTTGATTGGTTGCACAGATATAATATATAAAGTTAAATTGATAAATACTAAATTGAAATTTAATTGAATTAGTATTATTTTTATTATTTTTGCAGAATTAAAATAAGGAAAGCCCAACTTTTAAACTTTATAACTTTATACCATCAAGGTTTAAATGTGACAACCCAGAGGTTTAAATAATGATAATATTGATTTTATTTACTAATTTTTTTGTTAAAACAATTAAAGGCAGCAGTATGTAAAATATTTTAACTTTTGAGCATTTTATATTTATAGTATTATAAAATGATAAAAACCTATATATTGTGTTATATTTTGTTTAATATAACATAATGTATAGGTTTTTACTAAATCATGCTACAAAAATGTATAAACTGAGTAGCTACAAAAGTCTCACAAATATTCATCAAGTTAGTGGCTCAGAATGTCTTCTCCTAAGTGGGTGGCTACATGTTATAAAAGTTAATCAAGTTGGGGCCCAGAATGTTGTCTCATATTTTTATAACATCTGTCGTTTAAATAATTTTAGTCAAACTTAGTTTTAATGAAACTAAAACGGTCTGTTTAGGTTATTAAAGCTAAGAAGTTCTCTTTTGAATCCATGTAGTCTACAATCAAAAGTTTTAAGAGATCTCCTAGATGCAGTCAATTTTTTTATTTTTTATATGTAATGGAAAGATATTTACGGATAAATATCTTTAACTAAATAGAAACTTAAAAAAAATTTCATATTTTTCATATATTGTTTATGAAATGTTTATCTAGTTTTAATTGATAAATATGTGGGCATTAACTTATTAGATAAATTAAGTATCAAGTAACTAATGAAATAAAATATAAGATTAACACAACTACATTGTTATTTGCATTCATCATATGTGCATAGTAAAGATAAACAGCAAGTGTTTATGTTTTATTATGAAGTTTTAAAAGTTTATGAGATTATGAAAATAATGGTTTTATAAAATTTAATTTGTTAATTTCTTTTTTTTAGAATTTTTCAATTTTTTTATTCCTTTTTTTTTTAGATATTGTTTTCCTTTTGGCAGGCCAGAGGGGGCTTTGAAAAGCACTTTGACAATATTTGAAAGGGTATATACTTTTTTTTGTTTATTTGTGCTCTATCAGCTCCTCATTTTTATTTATTTAGCACCACTTTTTTTCTTTATTTGTTTTGCTTTTCGTTTCTTATTACCTGTTTTTAATTTCAGGTTTTATTTTCTGTTTTTTGTAGTGTTTTTAAATTTATTTTTCCCCCTGAAATAAAAGCTTTAGTTTTATCCCTCCCAGTGTTTCAGTTTTCTATTGTCATTGTAAGTAACAATGACAATAAAAATCTAATTTTCTTTTAACCTTTCTTCTAACATCTGTTTTTGTTTTTAAACCTCATTTATTTAAATACTCCGTTATAATTTAGGTTCTTTCTAAAGATACAATGATGCCTTCAGCAGATCCTGAAGACAGTGAAGATGTTAAGCAAGCTATTCGAGACTGCTTGCGAAGAGCTGCACTTGTTAATTATACTAGATTATCGTCATATGCTAAAGTAGAAGGTTTTTACAATAATAAATTTAAAATGTATATTAAATGGTGAACTGATCTGATATAATATAGGGAGAAGTGGTAAAGTGATCTAAAGTTAGATATAAATCTTGACATAATGTCCTAATGTAGATGTTATATCTTAATGCATACATAATGTCTGAATGTAAACATAATGTCTTAATGTAGATAATATCCTGAATGTTTAATGTTGAGTTCAATAAAATACCTAATAAATAAAGCTAACAAGTTAGAGAAAGTCAAGTATAGAATTTACCGTGGAATTGGTGCAGAATTGTATTTCTGTGAAGTTGTTTTGTTTATGAAGTTAGTGCTTTACAGTAACAGAGTTTACAGTTACTGGGTTTACAGTTTACATGAGCAACAGAAAAGAAATCCATTTCCTTTATTACCACAACAAGTGAGAAAAAAAAACAGCTTCCTCTAAATTGTTCAAAAATAGTCGTAATAGTTTTGATAGTTATTAAAGACAACATACAACTAAGCATTGTTAACATATTTCTTAAGTTAAGTAATTGCTTCATAGAGTTTGTTGTTGGTTTTTCACCTGAAAAAATTTTGCAAAAATGTAAAACTAATAAAAGTTAAATTGTCTAGATAAAAAGTAAAAATAAAGTAAAAAAGTAAAAAAATATATATATTAGTAAATAAATATAAAAAAAAAAGTTGTAAAAAAAATTGACTTATATAAAAAATTTTGATTTTAATTTTCGAAGGAATAATAATTGATAAAAAAAAGTCTGATAGTGCAAACATAATTCATGGAATGAACCTTGTTACCAACTTCTGTCAGCATCTGTCAAAAAATTCTGCATCAATTTTTTTTTAACATTTTTTTAACATTTGTTTATTGACAATAAGATATTGCTCTGTTATTTATATTATTGACATTAAACTATGAGTCTGCCATTTGGTTATTGACAATAAAAACTATCGGTCTACAATTTGTTTTTTGAATAAATTAATGTTAGACAATTTGTTTATTATCAAATACAAATGGACACTAAAATTTGTAAATGTTCTGAAATCTAAAACAATCAAGAAAATTTATTATTATTTATTTCACAAAAATATTTTTGCTCTTAAAAAAGTTTAGATATAGTGCCAACTAGAAAAGAGTCTGTATTTTTAAGAGTTCAGAAATAATTTGGTGAGAATTATGATTTCTTAAAAGTTTATCTTCTGCAACTTGCATTAACTTATTTAGTTTGAGCCTAATATATCCAGGTTTCTTTTATTGAAATGGGGAAGGTGGAAAAACAAATAATGGTTTATTTGGTGCTTTTGATTTTTTCAAAACTATAGTTACTCTGAAAAGATGAAGTCTTTGTTTTTTGTTTAGATGTTAAGATGCTCATTTTAATCAAATTGAAACAAGTTAAGGATTGGCTAAGTTTGGTCCATTACTGATTGAAGGTCTTCAGCACTACTTTTTTTTTTTTTATGTAGTTCAATTAAAGTGTGTAATTGCTACCAACACCTAATTTTAAGGATTAGCTTACCCAAACCTTTGTATTGCATGGGAACACTATCATACAGCTATTGGCCATGTTCTGCATACAGCATATATTATTAGTTTTGATTTTTTAGAAGGTTTGTTTTATTTGAGAATGCAACAAATGGAGCAACAAAACATGAAGAAACATAAAATAACATGTTTCAACGCAAAATAAAATGTTAAACAAGTTAATTAATTTTATTCAACTTTTACAATTTTAATGAACTCAAAATCTATGAATTAAACATAGCAGTCACTTTTTTAGAATTTGGATAAGTCTTATAAATCTACTTAAATTATTCCATTAAACTGTTTTAAAATGTTGCTGGAATATTTATTGTTTTTCTATTCAATACAGAACATAATAAGAATACTTTACAGAATACAAATATGCAGAACATAACAAGAGTATTAAGATTTTCAACATTATTTATTTACTTGTTCACTGTTAGTTTGATTGTTCACTAACATGTTCATTTACATGTTTACTTTATTGCTCATTTACTCATTTACAGTTTACAGTTTTTCACCAAATAAATATATGATCA